TGGCTTTGACCTGCCCTCCAGGGGCTGTCTTGACTAATGAGGGTACTGGGAAGTGTCCACACACTGTAAAGCAAAAGAAGGTTATTTCCTTACATTGTGACATGATGTATGATAAAGAGGTATGGACAGCAGCCTTTTCAGCTAGCTGCTATTTTCACTGGGCTATGAATAGTCTTGTGAGATCAGTATTATCTGTTCCAGGTTTTGTTATGCTTTGTGTTAGGAGGTTTTCATATCTTTATTACATGGACCTATGTGCACCTCCAGGTCTAAAGGGTGAGGTGGGTCTAGATGGCCCTGTGCTCACCTAGGTGATGGAATGGGGTCTTGGCTACCAATCTGTCAGGTTACAGTTCCTAAATTCCTCCTCTCCCTTTACATGCCACTCAGTGTCTAGCCAATAAAATCTGCTTGGCCTGGGGTGTATGTTATTAATCTGTGCTCATCCCAGTGCTGAGGAAGATGTGCAGCAATTTGAAGGAATGATGCATGCTGAGAAATCAGAACCAAGATTGGAGTGCCCTGCAGATGGCCTACAAATAATTTGTGTCTGTAGGAGATGTCAGCAAGGGCACTGAGCTGTGCTGGGTATCTGAGCAGTTCAAGCTTTAGTTGTGCAGAGTATTACCTTAGTTCTGAGCTCAGTTAAACCTCCCAGAAATAAAATGAAAATGCAGCACAAAGAAGGTGTCAGCCCCTCCAGCATCTGCCTTTCTAAAAGGGGATGTTTCACACCTGCCAGGCCAAGCAAGCTTTTAATTTTTATCTGATTAAACTATTTGAAAGAGAGTTACTTTAAAAAACCCAAACAGCTTCTGGAACAACAGCCTTCTCCAGTACTTTTATGAGTAACCTTCTTAGCTTTTCTGCAGGTCATCAGAGCTCTCCTCCCTCTGAGGGCTTGGCAGAGGCATTTGCTGTGCCCTGTGTGAAGGCTGGCACAGCCTGTCCCTCCCAGCTGGGCATGGCTTACAGCTGGCACTGCAAAAACAGTCCCACAGGGGACATCCCCAGGGCTGCAGCTGTTGGGAAGAGCCTTTTTGCACCTGAACACTGCCAGCAGTTCTGTAGTAAACCAGATCTGGGGCTGAGAAGGGTGTGAGGAATGAGCAAAGCTCCCTGAGTAGCACCTGGAATGAGTAAACAAGAAACTTCCTTTGTCTGTAAAGAGGAGCCATGGCTGTGACACAGGTCTGCAAGATGGAGCAGGTGATTGCAGAGTGATCCTTACTCTGGGTTTTCTAATAAAATACTTGAGGATGTAAAACGAAACAAGCAAGTGGCAGGTCAAAACAAATCAAGGACAAGTCCTTTTGTGTTTAAAATGTAGTGAAGCTGTGGGACTCTGGGGCTTTGAGGATATTGCAAATGCTTAAAATTTATGTGAGTTCAGAAAGTAAATGGAAAAGGTGTGAAATTCAGGGACAGAGCTCCTGGTTCAAGGTACCTTACAGAAGCTGGAGCACAGGATGGCTCTGCTGTAAGCTCTTAGCCTGTGTTCAAGATCAGCTGGTGCATTATAGGACCTTCAGTCCAGCTGTGTGTGCCTGTACTGCCCTGCACTGGCACTGAGAGCCTGTTCAGAGATGAGATGCCAGGGCAGGCTCACGTCTCCAGCCAGCCTGGGCTCTGTGCATGGTGGCAGTGCCATGCACCAGCACAGATCTTTTCTGGAGACTGAAGCACTGGCTGCTTCCTGGGCAGGTGGCCACAAGAAATCAGAAGCTACCACAGCAGGAGATGGAGCCAGTTATGGCACATGATGGGTCCTGCTGCTGCTTGTCTCCACACCCAGCATTTGTCAACAGGGCTGGGCATGGGAGTTGGTCTTTGTGATGTTCTCTTCCCCAGAAAAGCAGGCAGAGGAGTGAAGGTCCTTTGCACACCCAGTGTGCTTCTCTGTTCACATCTATGGCCTTTCCTGTAGCCAGGACAGTTTTCCCCATCTGCTTTGCTGTGAGATGCCAGCACTCCCTGTGTTGGGGTGTCCTGGTGATGCAGGACCTGAGGGCAGCCCAGGTTAGTTCTGCATGCTGGGCCATAGGCCTTGAGCAGAAGTTGCCTATCTGGACACAAAAAATTCACTTTTTTATGATTTTCCATTTTTCTCCTGTCACCAGAGAGAAATCCTGACCTAGGAGGGGTCTCCTACTGGTCAGAGTGAAGGAGAGTGCAACTTTCTTTGTGCTTGTCACAGTTTGTCCCCAACCAGCTTGCACCAGAGAGCTAAATAAAGTGCTTGCACTGAAGAAGTCTCAGTGTGGGGTAAATCTGCCCCAGCACTGTGCAATCACCCCTGTCATTGCCCCACAGAGCTGCAAGGCTTTTGTGTTTTCCTTCCCAGCTGTTTGCAGAGATGGCAAGGCTGGGGCTGGGCAGGACACACAGAAATTGTTTTTGTCTGTGTGGGACCCACAGGCTCCTGGCTTTCCAGCTGACTTAGGTATTTGTTCTACATCACCCCTGTGGTGTCCAAACTGTCCAGTGACAAGGCTTTGTTAGGGGAGAGGATTGTGTGCACTCCAACAGAGCAAACCCAGCTGTGTGGTGCTGCTGCAGGAGTGTGAGCTGCCCCAGGGATGAGGCAATGGCTGATGGCTGGCACTGAGCACTGTGCCTGCCTGATAACGTTCTGTACCTGCCTGATAACGTTCTGTACCTGCCAGCTCATTCTTATCCTCCCTCTATGGCACTTGTAGACCCAGGTGAGCATCAGCACCCTGTCCCTTGCTGCTCTGCACCTCATGGTTCACGGAGGGCTCTCCTGTGGAGCTCTGCACTGCCCAGGACACACATGGGGCACCCATCAGAGGCTGCCAGGCTCAGTGGGGCAGGGACAGCCCTGTGGCCACGCTGCAGATGGACATAATTCCCCAGGCTTGTGAATTCCTGCAGGGCTGGGGCAGCAGCTTTGCAGCTCCTGACACTTCCAGCAAAGTCTCCAGCTCTGGTGGAGCAGTCTCCTAGAGCAGCTCACCTTCCCACAGCAGGTGCATCAAGTGGTTTGATTTTTAACTATATAAACAAAAGGAGTTGGCTCTTGGTTTCTGTTAACCTTTTCCTTCTAATGTAGCTATTTCAGTGAGAGAAAACATTTTCATGGGAAAGGGAAAAAAAGTCTCTTTACAAAGAAGTAGCCCTTTTTCCCAAGATGTAGCCTTTATTTTTAATTGACTGCCATACTGATGAATAAAGATGAGTCTTCTCTGAAAATATTTTCTGAAGTAGTTTCAGCCCACATGTCATGTGGCTTGTTAAAAATAAATAAAAGTTCTCGAGAAGCAAATACTGTGATATGTCCCTAGATACCTTTTCAAAAATAAAATCTGTCCCAGAAAATTCTGTGAATGTCTTTGTAGAAGCAGGATTGTGCCTGAGAGCCAGAGAGGAGTAGATGGAACTAAGCATGGAAGAGCCATGACAAGCTGGATGAAATGTAGGTTTAAACAGTAGAGATTCACCAGAGCTTTTTTATTATTGTTTCTGTTGAAACTATTTAGAGTGCTATAGATAGTTTCTCACATGATAAAGGCTATGTTGTAGTGTGACAAGCACAGCTATTCTTGCCTTAAGAAGTAGGAAATGTTGTTTCCTTTCCTCCAGCAATTTTTTACAAAAACAATAACAGTTTTTATGACAATGCCATTCCTTTTATTAGCTTTTTCCTGCAGTGTTCTGAGGTTTTTATTTGTAAACATTATGGTCACATGCCTGTTCTTTCTTTTAACACATTGTTACACCATTACAAAAAGCACAAACATTTGTGAGTTTATCATCTGTAAAATAAGGTAAGTCTGAAATGATGTCAAATGTTCAGCTGAAGTTCAGCTGAAGCACTGGTTCTCAGCTTTGGATGGGTCCCTTGATGAAAGAGGTGCACCATGTGCAGTCCAAAGTGATTAAGTCCAAAAATGATTAAGATGCCAGCTTTGAGGGATCTGAAGGAGCTGTGGTGGTTAATGTGGAGGCTGAGGTGTTGAGCCCAGTGAGGATGGCTGCAAAGGGATAATTCCTGTGTCAGCTAGGGTGGGCTGACACCCATCAGGTGTCAATCAGGTAGCAATAGGGAGAAGTTCTTGCTGACAGCAAAGCACTGAAATAGGTGGCCTGAAAGGGCTGAGGTTGGTATCCTCAAAGGCACAGGTTAGAAACTAAGGGTGATACAAGCTTTGAGGTTAGGGAATGGGCCTGATGACCTTCAGATCATGTTTGCCATGAAAGATGGGATTTATTGATTTTTAATGATCTGACTCCCAAGGCTGTGGCTTTGGAAGAAATAGCAAAGTATCATGAAAGCCACAAACACTTGAAAGGTTTGCAGACAGTAGAAAAATTGAGTGAGGTGGAAACTGCCTACATGGACAGGAGCAGAACTTTTCCTTCCTCAAAGGTGGGCCTTACTGCCCTCAAGCTGGGCAGGAGAGAGGAAAAGGAGTAAAGTGTCAAGGCAGTGCTTGTTTTACCTCTCCTCCACGCCCTGCAGCCTCTGGCAATTTTCACTGTCTTTTGAAACACAAAGTGATCTGCATCAGTAATGTTTGAATAGCAAATATATGTGCAGCATAAAGCAAAGGGCACACATATTAGGAAATGAGCAGTATTTGATAGCATAACATGCAGCAGAAATACTTGCAGGCTGCTGTTCTGTCATCTTCTGATTGCTTTACAAAGGTTGGCTGCTTTTCCTTGGTTTCATTTAAGGCATAAAGAAGTGAAGATAAGAAGAAAGGAGGTAAAAAGCAAGCAAGCAATTTGGTAATTCATATCCATATTTTGTTTGTAGCATGCTGAGTTGACTGTTTATCTATTAGTAGGAAAGGGCTGAAATAAAACATTGTCTTGGTTGGGTTAATACCACGTGAGGAGCTCTAGGACAGGGAGGAAAGTAGGGCAGCTTGTTTTGGAACTTGCTGGAGAACAAATACAAACCCCCAATGTACACATTCACTTGCCATATGTCACGCTTATCTGAAAGGCATCTCGGTGCTGTTTCTCTGCAGGGATGCTTGAACTCCACAGAGCAGACTTGCCTGCTGAGGAGAGCACATGCCAGAGGTGCTGCTGTGGGTGAGAGGAGCTCTGGTGCCTGTTGAGGCAGGAGCTGCTCCTTCCCCCGCTCCCCTCTGTGACTGACGCTGGCACCAGGATCGCTGCAACTGAGCCTGAGGAAAAGCAGAGGAGCCTGACTTTGCTGAGGGAATTCTCCTGGCAGGGGAAGGCATGCAGCAGAGCCTGGAAGTGCAAGTCCAGGTGCTAGGGTGAGTTCCACCCGAGCCATGCTGTGGTGACTCCTCTCTCTGCACCGCGTCTTGCTCGGCACCAGGGCACTGTGAGCGGCTGCCCATGGCCCTGGGCTGGACTAGTGCCTGCTCTGAGTCCCCTTGAGATACCTGAGGAACTGAAGAAGACAGCAGGGAAGATGTTGGACTTGAGCTTCCTGACCGAGGAGGAGTATGAGAAGCTGATGAAGGTTCTGCAGAGAGATGCAGAGCTGAAGAAGAAGGATGGAGATCGCATCAGGTGAGTGTGATGGCAGGGTGTGAGCTTCCCTTGGGGGAGACTTATTCACTTCTGTGAGAGAGGAGCATGTGTGTGTGTGTGTGCAGGTTGCAACAGTACTGTCCCTTTTGCTCAGATCCTGATAGATCTTTTCATTGTACCTTGTCTTTCTCAGCCATCCTCCTGTTGCTGCTGTGCTCTCCTTGCAGGAGGGGATTCTCCTTTTGAGTTCATCATCAGCCCTCAGAGATGCCAAGGGCAGTCACCCCTTTCCTTTTCAGTGGGGAAAGATGCTGATTTCTTGGTGGCAGAGGTCTGAGCAGGGGAGCAGCTGCTACCTTGTTTTACTCACCTGGTAGCACAGAAAGGGCATAGTTTGTTTTAAAATGAGATTTTACAAAATGAGATTTTACATCCCCTTCTCTGTTGCCCCTTTGTTTTTTGAGGTGGGTGTGTGTGCACCATGTGTCAGACGGAGAGGGGTGATTAGAGGCTACATGATCTGCCAGAGGTTTGCAGGGAGCTGTTCCAGAGCCAGGGGTTCTGGCTCAGTTCAGCTCCTCTGCCACTGGCCATCCTGGAGCTCAGCTCTGGTTGATCAGGATTGCTTCTTGCTGCTGTTGCTTTTTAAATGCCAGCCATTAGACCATCTGGGCTGACAGTGTGCACCAGGCTCAGGGAGCTGCCACTGAATTCTCCATGGCAAGAAATTAGTAATGCAGTGGGTGTGGGTGGCACTGTGCCAGTTTACCCCAGCTAAGGATGCAGTTCTTCTATTTGCTGTTGAGCCAGAAAAAGCGTAATCCCCATCTAGAAAGGATGCTCAAGGCTTGAAGGGGGAGCAGGAAGCTTTGCTGCTCCTGGGAGCATGTGTGCCCTGGCCTCTGCTTGGAGGTGGGAGGTGGGGAAACAGCTGGAAGCCAAAGCCTGGACTTGGGGCGTATGTGTCTGCATGGTCTTCTTACCTCTCCTCTGAGTGGAAACAAGTTCAAAAAGGCTTGTTTTTATTTATTTTGGGCTTTGTTTGTTTGTTTCTGAAATGAAGTACATTTTCCCTCTGAAATGGAGGTTTGGTCAAAAGAATGTTTGGATTATTTTGGTTTTGTTTCACTTCTCTTTGAAAGCTGTTGCACAGGAGGCTTTGATTTGGGAGTGAAGTGAATTAGAGCCCCAGAGCCCCTTGCTGTCAGTTTGGCTACTTGCAGTAAGATATGTTTGGTTTCAATACAACCTGCCTGCTGGGCAAAATGAAGTCAATGGCATTTCCTTGATCTGCTGTCAGCAAGATTAAAATAACTATTTCATCTGGCCCAGCACCTTGAGACCCTCATGGAGGCAGTGCAGCCCTGGACTAGATGGGAATTTCTGTTGAGTCCCCAGCATGGCCTGCAGAGGCTTGAGCCCAGTTATCCCTGCTCCCTCCTGGCCTTCAGGCAGCCCAATGTGACCCTTCCAGGCTCCAGGGTTTCCTGGGGGTTTGCCCCCTTTTCCTGCTGAGGGCTGGGCTGAGGAGTAGCTTCCTCTGGCCCCCCAGGTTTCACAGGAACCCTGACCTGTGCTGAGCTGTGCCAGCTGAAAGGCAGCTAATTCAGCAAGCCATGCTGAGGAGGATTAGAGTACAGAGCACTGACAGGTTTAGGTGCCAAAAACCAGCCCTGGGTGTGCCCAAGAGAGGAACAGTAGGAGAAGCCATGCTTAGGAGGGAGAGCTAACTGTGCAAGTGCCAAAATAGGCATGGCAGGGGGAGCAGGAGGATGCTGCAGGGACTGGTGACTTCCCTAAATATCATTATTTGTTTCTGTGGTTTGCAGCAAACTTGATCCAAAAGGTTTTGCTATAAATAGATTAATAAACAAATAAAATTGAGAAGTGCAAGACAGACAAACAGCCCCACCCTTCCTTAACCCTCAGGGCAGCCAAGCAAGTGGACAAATCTCCTTGCCAGGTGAATGATTTGGATTTGTGAAATTTGGAAGAGGTGAAAGCCTGTGTTTACAAGGTGCTGTTACCATTTCAGATAAAGAGTAAATCAGGTGTTTACTTCCTGCTGTTCTAATGCTGGTTTGGCTCTAGTGATTGCACAGAATAATCTCTGGATCCTTTGTAATGTCAGGCAGCTGAATCTATGGATATATTGCAAAGGTGGCTCAGGGGAAGTGGAAACCTGGAAGATCTCTTTGGTGTGTAATGCTTGCCCTGCCTTTCAGGAGGATTCAAGGCTCCATCACAGATGAAAAGAAGAAGAAGTTTGTGACAGGTGAATGGTTTTCAGAAGTGAAGGCAAAACGGTTCCAGGAAGACTTGGCAGGGCCGGATCTCCTTCGGGCATCCATTAGAAGGAAGAAGGGCAAGCTAGAAAGTGAGTATGTTAGTGCACATCTTCACAAAACAAACTGATGGACCAGAAAAAAATTGGTCCAGGGTGGGAGTCTCCCTGTACTGGCAGTGTGTTCAGAAACAGTCCCTGTGTTGTGATACGGGGATTCTCATCTATGTTTTCAGTACCAGAAAAACATCCCTTGTTATCAAAATCAGGGCCCAAAGAAAAAATTACAGCGTGGCCGAGAACCACATTATTCCTTTTTCAACTTATTTTTCTTCCCTTTTTCCTCTATTTGTATTCTCAGACTTCTTTTGGTAAAGCTCAGGTATAACATGTGACTTTATTCCTTCCTCTTACTTTTTCCTCTTACTGCCATTTTACATCACTGGTTGTGCATCCGGGTTCTGCAGCTAATATATTCACCTCAGCTGAGATAAGGACCTTTGCTTGCCATATTGACACCTTTTTTCCTTCCCCTGGAAAGATCAGTCATTCACCTCTGTTGGCTTTCAAGGTGATGAGGGAGTGCATGTTCATTTAGTCAAATCTATGTTCATAACTCCTGATTTGAGTCTTTAGACTTAACTCTGTGTTAGGGAGTGAAATGAAAAAATTCCTTCAGGGAAAAGCCCTACTGAGATAATTTCTGGCATTCCCATTGCAAGGTAAGTGGGCTGAGGAGGGGTGGAAATTTGTGCTTGCAAAGGAAAATTCCCAGTGATCTTTTCTGGAGGAGGGTTTTAGCCTTCAGAAGGGAGGGTTGTTGTGATCCCTGGAGGTTTTCACAGTTGGTATTGATTGTAGTAGAAAACACTAGTCATGGGCAGTAATACAGATCTATAAAACAGATAGATACCCTGTATTTACACTACAGCCTGCAGAGCAGCACAGATGGATGAATTTGATGATAACTTCTCCTTGTGCTTATGTGCAATTCTTGAGGGCTAAAAATCACCTACAAGAGAGACCATTTTATCCACCTGCTGTGGCAAGTGATGCACAGTTAGTTATCCATGTCCCAGGCACTGAGAGTCTTTGTTTTAGAGTGGTAGGACATGAGTAAAAGTGTTACAGCAGGAGTGCCTGCCAATTTTATACACATGTATAAAAATGCTTGTATGGGCAAGTTAAACTGGTCAGGCCACTCCTGATTTCTGTTGGAATTTGCTTGTTATATTGTCTCATCCCAAAGTTAGCAAAGGCATATCGCTTGTCTTGATGAATTGTAATGCACTAAACTGTTTGTGGTGACAGGAGCCAGGTGTAGCTGTGGCAGGGGCTGAGCCATTTTTAGGGCAGGGATTTGGGTGGGTGGGAGTGAAGGCTTCCTGTTGCCCCTGCCAGCCAGGAATGAGGAGCTCTGCCTGAGGGGGAAGTGTCAGAGAAGAGCGAGTACAACACAGAGCCTTTGCAAGTGGGATGAGAAATGAATGCAGTCTTTGATTGTCAAGGTCTTTTCAGCCATGACAGGCACAGGGAAAGTGTGGGAGCTCTGTGTTTGGGTCCTTTCCTTCCAGCACAGTTCCCTGCTGGCACCTCCCTCCCCAGGCCTGAGGCAGAAGAGGAGGATGTGGCTCACTGTATCAATAAATGTCCTCAGTGTGCCCTGCTGTGCCCACATGTGCCATGGCCAGCACGTGCCACCAGCCATGCCTGGAGTTCTCTCTCCTAAAACAACATTCAGTGATGCTTTGTGCACATCAGTGTTGGCATGGGCAGGACAGTCCCTCTCTCAGAAACGTGCTCTCTGAAACTGGCTCGTTCCTACACACCCAGACTCCTGTTTTTCAGCAGGAGCAGCTCCCTGATTTCCCACTGCTGTGGAAACCACAGAGCCCCCAGCTGCCCCTCTGTGTGCCAGACATGCAGGCCTAATGCCACAGCTCTGAGCAGGGCCTGCCCTGTTCCTGACTGAGGGCCAGGTGCTGGGAGGGCAGGAGGATTGGGGATGCAGCATTTTCTCCATAGGAGTGCACAGACAAGGGGCAGTGAATCTTTGGATATTGCTGTGACCTGCAGGCTGACCCTGCTGGATGGCACCACCAGGCAGTGTTGAGTCTTGAGCTTCTCACCATAGGACTGGCCTGCTCTTGAGCCTCAGGAGGTTTTCCAACCAGATAACAAGCAAGGCTATACTGTTTAATATTACTTCTGAATCATCTGAACTTCTTTTTCTATTGAATTGTTTAGTGAAATGTATCCTAAAATGGTTTGGCAGTTCTTGTAATAGGTAAATTTTCTCTTTAAAATAGACCTAGCTGCATGAATAAATATGTGCAGATCTTGTTGAGCAGACTAAGTTTACTTTTTATATTCTCTGTTTGAGAGTTTAATCCTTTTGGTTTTGCAGTAGCAAGAAAACCCATTTGCTAACAAAATATCTAATGTAGCATTATACCCTGCAGTCTGCTGTAAAAGTTACCATCCTCTATTGTTTTTAATTTGGGGTCTCTGAGAGCTCCCAAGATATAGCTGGGCCTTGTGCCAGTAAAAATAACAGGGATCTCCTCATTAACTGCATTGGCCTCCTCCTTTGTTTGCCAAGATCGGATGACTTGAATCAAAACAGGAAATGGCTGAATTTAAATCCTGGAACAGATTAACTTTATTGACAGTCAGTGGCAGCATCCTGTGGAGATTTCTAGTGATGTGACAGCTCCTGGCATGAGTTGGGCATTGGGCAGCTTTGTCCTCTTGGACCTGTGGGATCTGGAAGTGCCTTTGCTGCCCTGCGACCTCCCCATCCTTGGGGAGAACAGGCAGAACCCCTGAAAACCCCTGAAAACCCTCTCCTCTTAAACCCCCAGGGATTGTGCTGCTGGGACTCTTTTTCATTGGGCAAAGCATTTTCTTACCCCAAACAAAACACACCATATATGGCAAGTTTAATGGAATGTCATTTCTCAGGTGTCTCTGTTGTATTACAGGTGAGGACAAGAAGCACATCCAGACGAGTCTGGAAAGCAAAGCTGCCCCAGTTCCTGCCTTTCCTGAGGACATTGCTGGTGCAGGAGAGGAAAGGTAACTCTGCTGCATGTGCAGTGCTCAGGCTGCTGCTCTTACTTCTAATGAGAATTGAATGCTACCCATTAAACCCAGGTCTCTAAGTGAGTTTCCAAGACTCTATAAGTAATAAGTTCTATAGGGTATTTTTTAAGTCCTCCTTCTAGGAATTGTCAGAATATCAATCCACCCCTAATAATCAAGTGGTAATGTGCTTATCCCACAAAGGTCTTTTCCTGCATGATTTGATCAGGGGTCAGTAAAATGGAAGCTGTCTCTAATGCCAGGATGTGCTGGTTAGTTTTTCAAAGTAATTATGGTTTTATTTGTTTAATTTTTGCTATGGAGCAACACTAACAAAATGAACGGTTTGAGGAAACTGCTCATTTCCTGCTGGTGCCAACCTTTGTGTCCAGAGCTCAGCACTCTCCATCAAGGCTTGGTAGGATTTCACGTTGTGCTGACTGAGCAGAAACATTTATTAAAAGCACTCCAGTGAGCAAGTCAGTGACCTCACTCAATATCCCTGGACTATGGAGAAGCATTTAAAATACTCACATATTCATGTATTGTTGTTCCCATCTTATTTGCCTTTTTTTTGTCAGCAAAATGAGGAATCATTCTCCACAGGTGGCAGTTGCTCCAGTTAAATATTAAATATGGGCCTTGACAACACTTGGAAGCATCTTGCAGCTGATTAGTGGGTGTTGTTTAATGAAGGATCCAGAGGCAACAGGCCCTAGGTACTCCTGCTTTGCTGGCACAGCACCCAGTGGGTTTTTTGCAGGGGGTTGGTTAAACCCTGAAAAGCTAGCTTTGTTTTTCTCATTCAGTCTTATACAAGGTGTGGCCTGTTCTTTCCTGGGCCATAGTATAGAAATATGTCTCCCTTTTGCATGGCCCTTGGGCTCTTCTGTCACTTCCCAGAAGGGGAAAGTCTGAATAAACCTAGCAGTTGACACACATTGTTTTTAGTGAGCAAGTTCTGCAGTTCTGAGCAGAACTGAGGTGGTGTTGAAGACTGCCTGAGCACCCAAACAGGCAAATCATTACCACAGCCCTCCTTGTTCAGGCATTTCTCCTCTCCCACAGATCCAGTACACCTACTCTTGAGACCACAGAGCAGAAAATTTTGCCAAAACCGAAGCCAAAACTTCCTGTCCATTTATCTGCATCATACAAGGTAGTACAGGCACAGCCTCTGCACTTTGTTTTGTTACTCCTTGGAGCTTCACACAATCTATACCTGCTGACAGGGGCTCCACAAGCTGCCTGCCCTGGTGTCTCTGCTCAAATAAAACACATTTTTTCCAGTCTTGCCAGTATTTATACACTGATAAGATTTGTTTTCTGTTCAGAGTTCCAGCATACATGATGTCTCTTCCTCAGAGAGTGACACAGGAACAAGTCCAGTTGTGACTGCAACAAACAGCTTTCATTTGTCTGGAAAAGGTAAGTTTTCTGTTCAGTGAGCTATTGGTGCTTTTGTTACTCACATCAAACACCAAGAGACAAGATGCTTTTCAGTGTCCATACAAATAAATAACAAAGAGCACCTTGCCATATGAGAATGGGCTGCCAACATTTTGTGAATTGCAGGCAGGGCAGCAGGGACAAAGGCAGAAAGCAATCTGATGAAATTTCTCCAGGCTCTCAGTACACATTGAACTGAGTGCTTGGGTCTCAGCTCTTTAATCCAGAAGGGGACTTACCCCTCTCTTTCCAGCATTGACTGTATAGTGTAGTTCTGGAACATAGCAAATAGCCAGCAGGGGAGCTGTCAAATTGAAAGGGAACCTGCAAACAAATCCACAGCTCGCAGGAACAGTTTAGAGTTCAGTGGATTTTCTCTGTGCCCTGTTGCAGGGAGAAGGACTAGGGTTTTCAGGGCTTTCTTCAGATAGAAGGGAACTTTCTAGACTCTGAATATGGAAAAGAACTAGAAATATAATGATGATTTCTGAAAATTCCCCCTGTCTTCTCATTGAGAGATTGCAGCCCAGGCCTTCTGGGGAGATTGGATGTGATGGAGTGGGACAGGCTCTGAGCATTTGTTGTTGTTGTAGGTCATGGAGATTCTCCAGTGCCCACCAGGCTTTCAGAGGATGCTGAACCTCAGCCCAGCACTGCAGCTGGAGGAGAAGCTGCTGATGGACCCACAGAGGGGCCAAAAACTCCTCCTGAGGAAACTTATCCTCCCAGCAAAATCCCAGTCAAGAAGAAACCAAGCAGAACCTTCCTGAAGTGTGAGCAGGCTGTGAATCACACGGGGCCAGCAGAGAACAGCCCTGCCAAGGAGGAGTCAGTGCCAGGCCCCAGAGCACTGCCCACAGATGGGGAGAGCGGCCGGGCCGGCAGGCAGGGGGTGAACTACACCATCTCAGCCATGAGCAACAGGGACGAGGAGATCGGCCTGGACCGGGAGCACTTCAGGAGCCTGAAGAACTTCTGGGAGAAGGGAGCAGAGTCTTTAGGGGCAGGGGGCAGCCCAGGGCCAGGGCTGGGTGAGGCAGCCCCTCGGCAGCTCGGGCTGGGCCGCTCGCTCTCCCTGCAGGCCGCGCCAGGCCACGGTGCTGAAGGGAAGCCTGGTGCCTTCAGCAAAACAAGGACCCCCCACAAAAGGACAATAACCCTGTCTTCCAGCGAGGAAGAGCCAAGCTGTACCACTCCTGCAAGGAAGGGCTCTGTTTCTGTCACTCCCAGCTCCACCTGTGCCAAGAGCAAAGGGGGCCTGGTTACAAGAAATGACTCGCTGGGTGAAAGCAATGGGAAGCTGCTGATGCCAGAGGAAGAGAAGGTGGTGCAGCACTGCTCCAAGAAATCCAAGCTGCCTGTGAGAGCACCTTCCATCCAGCTCGAGTCACTCACCAAGGACGTGTCTGGCAGCTCGCTGGGGCCAGCAGGGACACCTGTGCAGGAGGAGCTGGTGGTGGCAGGAGAGTGCAAGCCCACATGGAGGGCCCCGGCCAGCAGGGTGCAGATACTGATAGAGCCTGTGCCCACAGATGGGGAAAGTGAGGATGAGAAAGAGGAAAGATCTGATTTGGGCACTCAAGACAACATGGAAATAAATGGAGAGCTACCTGAGGAAAAGATGTGTGAGTCTTCAGACCAGCCAACACCTGGTGAACCATCTGGAGAGAGAGAAGCTGTTCAGGGAACAGACTCAGCTGTTTACTCAGGTACTGAGGGCTGTGACTGCACCCTGTGAAATCCGAATACAGACCCATCCCTAAGCTGGTTTTCTTCCCTAACCCTTCTGCATTTTGCACATTTTCTTCATCTGCCCATTTGTCCTATATTGTCCTGCAATTTGTGCAGAGTTAGCTTGTGTGGAATGTGTTCCACAAACAGCTCTGGAAATAAATCTTGTGTAGCCTAGTGTGAGTGCAGAAGGGGACAGTGCCATGTTCCCTTGCTTTCCTCCCCACTCCCAGCCCCTGGGCCTTACCTGCCAGCAGCTCACCTTGGGACAGCCCTCCCTCCACTGCCTTCAGCACACCAAGGAACTCACTTTATGTCACTCACTGGCAAGATTGTATTTTCTTCAAATGTGGGACTGGAAGAATTCTTTGTGGTAGTAGAGATAAGTCTAAGACAAATAGAAGAAATAAAATGTGAAGCAAAGTGTTTAATAAATGCACTGGCTCTTAGAGTACCTTGATACAGCCACTGGCTGTCAGTGCCTAAATTACATTTTGTGGTTTTTTGGAATGCACAAGTGAACTCTGATATTAAACTTAAAGCAAAGTGGACTGAACAAGGAGTCTGTTCTTTCTGGGTTCTGATACCATGTTCTCAACCATGATGGTATCAATAGCATCACCATTTTAGCAGCCTCTTCTCTGGGTTTGATGGGCTCTTGTAGTGACTATTACTATGAGAAAACATTATTGTTATTTGCAACTCACTTTACATTTGGGCTCTGATGACCCACAGCTCTGCTCTCTTCCAAGCAAAGACCTACAAAGAGAGACAGCATCTTCCCTTCTTTTTCCCAATTTCAGTCCTCATGTGCCTGGGTAAGACCTGCTTGAGAGGATTTTCCACAGACTCATCTGATTTTTATTTTTTAATTGTGTAATTTCTTGGCTTACTTCCTACCTCATATAACATTCCTATGAAAATCCTGAGTTGCACTTCAGGTCGTTGCAAATATTTTCTTTATGGAATATTTTTGGTTGTGAAAGACTTCTAAGAGCATTAAGTCCAACCATTTATAGACTTGATCATTCTAGTATTTCTCAGGGCTTTTTCCTTTATTAACTCATTCATTTCAGGATGATATTAGCAGATGGTTCTGTTTCTCTGGAAGCTCTTCACAAGAGTTGGTCTGTCTTGGGGACTGGGTTAATCCAGTATTTGCATTTCCTGACACAGTGTGAAGAGGTTTTCCCAGGGCAGACATCAGAGCCCCTGGATGATTGGGAAGCAGCCCTGGGCAGTGTGACTGCAGTGTGCTCTAGGCAGAGGACCAGGGGAGGTGCACACACATACAGGCCTATTGATGCACTGCCCATTTGTGGTTTTTTATTTATTTACCATGTTGATTTGGCTTTTTGTGTATTCCAGAGGAAGATGGGGATCATTCTCCTGCTGCTCAGGCACTGGCCCGAGCAAATAGCATTAATCTTGCAAAGAGCATGGTGAACATTTACACAACCACAGAGAGTGAGTAACATCTTTCTTTCTTCTTTTTGGTTTACATTTGCTGAAGGTGATATATTATGCCAGTTTTTCATCACCATGCTTCTGTGCATGTATCAGGCTAGGAAAATAACATATTGTTTCATCATCAAATTAGAGAGTTTATACTGCCTAAAATTAAATTCAGAGCCAGGAAATTACAGCTAGATTGATGGTTTGTTACTTCAGCAAAACCACAAGGGCTTCAAAGGGTTGGCAAGAAGCTTGTGCTCATCTCTCCTGTTCCTGCACAAGGCAGTGGGATCTGTTGGCAGCCTGGGGACTGATCTGAGGTGCCAAAGCTGGTGTCACCTGTCACTCCTGCTCATGAGGCCTCTCCATCACCCAGAGCAGAGCCTGTGGCTCGACTGCTGTCCCCAGCTAGGACATGTTTTATGGTGACAGTCTCTCCCTCAGAAACCCAGAGAAGCTGAGGAGAAGGACACCAAGGAAGCAGCAGCCTGCCTGAAGAAGCCCAGGAAAGCTGCAGCCATGGAAAGCACCTGAGGGGAGGCAGCAGCAGCCTCTGTGCCCAAGAAAGCCAATGACAATCCCCAAAAAGGCAGCCAAGAGCTGGCCTCAAAGGGAAGGGGTGAGGCCAAGGCTTCCAGGACTGAAATGAGAACATGGGAAGGCAATGCCCAAGGAAAGGTAAAAGTGAAGCCACTGAGAGGCTTTGGTTGAGCCAGTTTAAGTCACAGGCTGTCATGGGAGGGAGGCAGCTTGCTGGCAGGTCTCACTGCACAGCCCTGTGGCTGTGCCCACCCTGGCTGGCACCTCGTGCCAAGCACTGCCCATCATGGGGTGCCTGATGTGTCACAGGGCACGTTGGCTCAAAGCTCCAGGCCCCCATTGCTGTCCAGGGACATGGTCTCCACCAAGACAACCAAGATTGCAGCTTCCCCTTATCTATAGTGTCCTGGTTTAGGGCAAATTTGGGAGAAAACATAATATCCAGTATAAACAGAACACATTAATGGGGATACAAACATCATAGCATCACCCTAGGACATTGAGCCCCAAAGTTGATCCTTGGAAACCCTCCTGTAACAGTGTTACAGCTTCATGTTTGCAGTACAGCAAATAGTCTGTGGATACTATTATTTATTTAATGTTAGAAATAAAAATAGTACATATCAAATGAATGTTAAATCAAGAATCTCTTGGGCGTTTTGAGCAATGTATCATCATGCCTAAAATGCCAAACAAGTGTGTATATGAACATGAATGTTCATGTACATGTATCTTTGCAAAACAAATTCTTCTGGGATGGAGAAAGTCATCTTCAAGAGAGTTATTGGAAGAAGATAAAGATACAAAAGATAAGTTTTAGTTAGACATTTAAGCAGTACAGTAACCATCTTTCTATTGATAGGAAACTTTTTAACTTACTTCTTTTAGATAATCTGCCAATGTCTACCTTTGTGTCTAGCAGAGTATTTGAGAAGTGTATGCAATGGTGAAGTTGTGGGTATAAATATTTTAGTGCTCTTTTCTGCAAGGCAGGGTGCTATGAGATAAAAATGTAAACGTGATTGGTTTCTTTGACAAGGAGGCAGATTTGGGTGGCTTTAGTGTGAATTCAGTCTGCACAAAGGAGGCAACATCTGTGTCCTGGTGCCGATGAGGAATTAGGTGAGCCACTAGAGGGAGTTCCACACTCCCACACAGTGAATGAAAATCACTGAAAATATTTCAGGATGTTAATTAGCAGTTTTTGTCTTGGGGAGGATCAGCTTCAGTGACAGGTGACACAGACAGAGCAATAGGTAGGTAGTGCTCCCATGCCTTCCACAAGCTTTTCCTCCTTCCTGTGCCCTTTAATAAAAGTGTGACTTATAATTAATTTCCTGATTCTAATGAGCTGTCTTGATGCCTTTTTTTTGTACCTCCAGCATACAATAAACCTTATTTGATACCACATCAATTTCTTGAACCTGAAAGAGTGAAAGAACTGAGCAGATCCTCTCCCCTTCTGTTGTCTGAGGTGGGTTGATGCCAGAAAAGGCTGAAATAATGTTCACAGCATCCCCTGGGTGGCAGTTGGTGTCATGAGGATGTTTCTCCTGGAGACCAACAGTACTTGCTTTGGAGCATACCTTGGTTATGTCACGAATAAATGAGAATGTGGAAACCCAGGACACTGGGAATATTTCTCTGTCTGCTCTGGGCTGCCCTGACCCCCAGGGGAGCACTGACTTGTCTCCCTCACTCATGGAGAAAGTTTCCCAGACTTCAAGATAGACTGGAATCCACAAAAGTGTGAAATAGATTAGAGAGAGCAGTGTAGGTGTATCACTTGGTGAGAAATTGAGGTTTTGGGATTTTTAGTATGTTGTGGATCGCAGCAAGATGGAGGGCACAGGGTGTTGTCTTGGGTTTCTTCTTCACACTTCTTCTTCATGGGTTTGGGTGGCATTTTGTAGTTGGGCAGAAAAGTCCCCATTGCAGCTCTTCGGGATCAGTTCTTGGGTTAAAAGGGAAAATAATCCAGGTGTCAGTTCTTAATTGGATAGTTTAGTCTTAAAAGACCTTGTAACATGAGATTGTTGGCCATTTTGTGCCTTCTAATGAAAAGCTGACAAACTCACAGTAGTGAGACTGTTTTACTGATAAGAAACAATAAACACTTGAGTCCCAAACATGAACTACCATCTCAAATGCCTTCAATCCAGACCCAGAGAAACCCACAATTGAAACCCCCACATGAGAAATGCCTTAAGAGAAAAGCCCCCAGCAGGCAGAGCAGCTGTTCCACGCTGGAGGATGCTGCCCTGTGTGTCCAGCCACGCTCTGTGCCCTTTCCGGAGCCCAGGCGGGGCCTGCAGCTCTGCTTGGAGGCAGTGAGTGATGACGTTCAGTGCTGCTTGGAGGGGATGCCCTGGGGAGGCTCCCTGCACTCTCCTCAGCTCTGCTAACCTGATCTCTGCTCATGGCACTCTGCTGAGCAATTCCTTTTTCTCCCCAGTGTTGCAAAGCTCTCCTCCTTCGGCACAGCTTAAAGATGCTTCTTGTTTTCTGAGCAGACGGAGTCAGACACGGCCTCGGAGCTCAGCTTCCAGCTGGGCAGGCACAAGAAGTCCCCCAGCACTGGCAGCCACTCCTCTGACATGGCTTCTGTCTCCTCGGTAGGTCGTGAGCGTGGGGGCTCTGCCCAGGCTCCTCAGCTGGGTGCAGGGATGCTGCAGTTGGGCTGCTGCTGCTGGTGGGCCCTCCAGAGCAGCCTGCTGGTTTCTGCAGGGTGCATTGGTAAAGGAAAGGGGGTGATTAATTATTGTTTCAGGTTAAATCCAGGTGCCACCTCAAAATAGAGCCCCACTGAGTCATTGCTGGTGAAATTCCCTGTAAGCCACAGCCCCTCTGCCAGGGGTGGGTGCTCTGGGTCCTGCTGGTGCAGAAGGTGGGGAAGGGGTTTCTAGGTGGGGAAATGAGGCACACAGCTGGTAAGGGGCATGTTTGTGGTTCAGGACTGCAGATGGGTACCCTCTGCAAGCTCATCCTTTATCAGCACATAAGAGGGAAGTCAGATTTGGACAGAAAAGGCATGTTTTGGAGCTTTAGCTTCTAAGGAAAGCTTAAAAAAGCTGAATGTGTTTAGTTGAGTGTTTTTAAAAGACTCTTCAGAGACAGTATTTGGGGAGGGAGCCATGTAAAACTGCTTGAATTTGCCGTGTTACTGTTATAGATTTCTTCAAGGAGCATATTTGAGACTCTCAGAATATATGTGAAGCAAAGCTGGTAGAGAGAGGTTGTGAATGTAGATAAATATGTTGAAAACTTTGGGACACATGAGTTCTCCTAATTTGGAGCATCTGGGAGCTGAAAATCAGTCCAGGTCATGCAAGTGTTCTTGAAAATCTCATTCAGGATTCTCTGCTGAGGTGAATATCCTGATGGGATAGTAAATGCAGCTCCAAGGACTGACTGGAGATGTTCAGCAGGTTTTTGGAGGTTATAATAAAATTCAGAACCAAAGTAAGTTGGGGAAGACAGAGAAGAATTGGGTTAATTACTGGGAAGGTTTTTTGATAAATGTTCATGACAGTACCACAGAGAGGTGCCAAGAGGGTTAATGATTTGCTTTGTAAACAGCATTAGCTTTTATGAAATCCTGTCAGGAATCATGAGTGATTGGTGCAAGAGAAAATTATCTCAGCTTTCTGTGGCTGAGCTTTGCTTGTGCTTCGTGACTTTCTCTCAGTGAAAGACAAAGACCTGAACAAAGAAGCCCAAATTGTCTGGGCAAATTGCAGTTTTTTCTGAGAAAGCAAATAACTCCTGGGTGCCTAGCTCCAGAATTGTGTCTGGAGAAGCCTCATGTTCTTGTGCCTTTGGGGCAAGCACAGGCTGTCTCTGGTGGGGCAGTGGCTCTTCAGAACAGGGTTGTATCTGTTTTGTGCTGTTCCATGCACATTGTGGGTAAGCAACAAGATAGGAATAGTTCTTCCTACATTTCTAGTCTGATAGGGTTCTTATTAACCTGTTTTATAACTGGATTGACAATTGTGTGACTATATCTACCTGAAATAACGAATTCTTATAATATAGTTCAAGTTCTCTCAATATCTTTCTTTCTTAGAGATGAGATAGGGTCAGGATATCAGTTATTTGCTCTGTAAGCATAGGGAAGAAACATGTGTGGTCCTCCCAGGAACATCTGAGTCCATTTCCCAAAGTTTTGGGATTTAGGAGTGAAAAAACTTCTGTATTTCTTGAGCATTCAGTGCTTCCAAGTCCTGGTCTAGGATAGCGCATCCTTATAGGGATTTCCCAGCCCTGGCTTGCTTGAGAGCAGCCACAGCTGTGAACCCTTTCTGTGTCGAGAGCACCACACTGCACAAGAACAGGAACACCAGAGTTTTTCTCTGGGAATGCATTTCTCAGACTCATGTTTGCCCAGAACCGAGTCAGACTGTGCCTGTTTCAGTGGCACTGACCTTGCTCTTCCCCCTGGCAGGTGAGTGGCAGTGTGCTCAGTGTCTACAGTGGTGACTTTGGGAGTGTGGATGCCCAAGGAACTGTGGAGTTTGCTCTGGACTATGACGAGAAGAACCGGGAGTTCCAGGTGCACGTGTCCCAGTGCAGGGGCTTGGCTGTGGTGGATGAGAGGAAAGGCAGATCTGACCCGTGAGTGATCTTTTAGTGCCTGAGTTCTGTCTCCTGGAGGACTTTTATTTTCTTTAAATATAATGGTTCTTTCCTTCCTGCCTTCCTGCCAGCTTAGTGGAGAGCTTGGCAATGTGGGGCACTGTCCAACTGGAGTTTGTTTTCTAGGTATGTTAAGACTTACCTGCTCCCAGACAAAGCCAGGATGGGCAAGAGGAAAACGTCAGTGAAGAAGAGGACAGTGAACCCCGTGTACAATGAGGTGTTACGGGTAAGGACAAACACACACTCTGAAAAGCTCTGTCAGGCAGGTCTGGGAAGATCCTGCCTTCTTGGCCAGATTCTTTGCTGCCTCCTGCCAGCTCTGCACTGCTCTCCCCTGGGCTTTGAGAACCCGGGGGTGTTAAAGGCTCTTCTGCACCCATCCATGTGGCACCCAAGATTTCTGTGCAAAACCACACAGATCTTTGGATGCAATAGGGTCCTGCAGTCAGAGCAAGGGCTGTTTGTCCTCCCCCTTCCCTGGCATGCAGTCACAAGGCACAGGACTGGTAAGAAAGGTCTGCATTATGTGATCATACTCATCAAAGCATAGAGGATTATTTAACAATGGCCAGGCCTGTGTTAATAATTCTTGAAAGAATATTGGTTTTGCCCTGTGATGAATGGAATGCCAGGTTTCCCTGTGCTCAGCAGAAAAGCTTTGTCAGGGTAGTAGTGTTGCTACAGGGCAAAAAAAGAGATGTTCAGACTGAAGCCAGTCCATTGGTAGTGCATATGTGTGGGGTGGGTTTGAGTGTCTCAGAGCTTATTCAAGCTTTTGTGTGGTTTATTTCTGTTTGTGAAAGAAACAGAAGAAAAATTTAGCAACCTGACTTCTCTTTCTTCCTCTAGTATAAAATAGAGAAAATGGTGTTGCTGATCCAAAAATTAAATCTCTCTGTTTGGCACAATGATCCACTGGGACGTAACAGTTTCTTGGGAGAGATTGAGATAGACTTGGCCAGCTGGGACTGGAGCAACAGGAAACTCAACTGGTACCCACTGAAGCCCCGGGTGAGTGTCTCACTGCAGCCCTGCTTTCCAGCCCAGCCCTGAAGCCCTGAGGGTGGCAGTCAGTAGACTTTCCTGACTCCTTGAGGTGTTTGGGTGGAGCAGGACAATGTGAACTGCGCTAGGGAACAACCCCTGGGCACCTTAGTGTAGCTCAGTGCTCAGAACAATGCCCTTCTCAGGTCTGTTTTGGTGACTGATCTGTAGGGACACTGTCATGAATGCAACCTGACACTAATCACAGCAACTTTGACATGACTTTGCCATTCTCTCCACTCACATAAAGACTTTTAAAAAAGCAGAGTCTTAAAGTCTTAAAAGCAGCAGAGTTTTAGGTGAAGCAGCTGATGTGCCTTGAGAGGTGAATATTCAGGTGCCACTGTTTTTAAAGCCTGTACAGCTTCCTGCATGCTTCTGGATTCACAGGTCTGATATGAGGTCCCTTTTAAACAAATAGAGGGCATTTATCTTCCAGAACCAAGATAATTATATCCAGCTGGACATGTCTGGAAGGACAACCTTGTACTCTGAATCCTCAGGCTTTTGCTTCTGAGAAACTGAGTTTGAGAGCAAACCCACAGAGAAATGACCTGCCCTAAGAGGGGCCTGTTCCAGCCATGGAAAATCAGAGTTTGTCCATTTGTGCTCCTCCACTGAAGTCAAAAGGTGTTTGCCTTGCTGTGTTTCCACAATCTTCCATTAAGTCAGTCATAACCCTTTCCATTTCAGAGCCTTTCTGCTGTTAATGGTGTGGATCATCGAGGAGTGATGAGTTTGTCCATTAAGTATGTCCCCCCTGGAAGCCTGGGTGAGTGTGGTTCGTGCATTAAGGGCAAACACACAGCTTGCAGTGCCTCATCTGCTTGGAGGCTGCTTAAAGAGCAATCTCATCAGAGCAAGATCTTGGAGTTCAGCACAAAGGCAGTGTTTGACAGCACTGCCTGCAGCCTACATCTGATTTCCACATCTGGATTTACTGGGGAGGGAGGAAGGGCTCAACCACCTCCAATTTATGAGCATATGGGCACTGTAGGGTGCTGTGATGAGGTAGGAGCAGCACAGAACCCGTGTTACTGTGGGGCAGGCACAAGGTTGCTTTGGCTCAGCAGTTCCATCTCTTTTGCTGTCTGATACAGCACTGGCAGGTTGTGTCAGGAGCTGGCTGCAGTGCTGAGATGCCCAGGGAGGGGCAGTGAGCACACAGGAGCTGTGTGGGTCCCACAGGAGAGGAGCCCTGTCATTCTGAGCTGTGGCTCTGGCTGCCATGACAGCTTTTCTCTTCTCATAAACTGCAGGGCCCAGGAACCCTCCCTCTGGTGAAGTTCACATTTGGGTCAAAGACGTCAAGGACCTGCTGCAGTTGCGTCCATCTGGAGTGGATTCCTTTGTGAAGTGGTGAGTGCCTGAGCACGGGGCTGCTCCTGGGGCTGCTCCTGCTCTGGGCTGTGCTTCCCACAAAGGCTGTGCTTCCTACTTTACTCTTAGGCTCACCAAGCTGTGCCTCCATAGTGGAGAGCCTTTGTGTTTCACTGGGAAAAGTGTAGGGGAGAATTGCCCTTGTTTTCCACCTGTAGGAAAAGCAGGACAATCCTTGCTGTGATAAAGCTCTTGGTCAGTGTTCAGTGCTTCATGCTGTGTGCTTTCTCCTCCCAAAGCTATGTGCTTCCCGACACCAGTAAGAAGAGCTACCAAAAGACCAGAGTCATAAAGAGAGACACAAACCCTGTTTTCAATCACACCATTGTGTATGATGGCTTTCACACAGAGGATCTGAAGGATGCCTGTGTTGAACTCACTGTGTGGGATCATGAGAAACTTACCAACCATTTCCTTGGAGGAATCAGGCTGGGCCTTGGGACAGGTCAGTATTTTCCTTTACTGAGCTACCAGGTGAAGTGGGAAGTTACAGAGTATTTTGCTGTTGGAGAGAAACCAGGGATGGAGTGTCTCAGTAACTGGTACCTGCCCTGTGTCGTGGATGGAGGGGCCCTGGTGCCATGGTAACAACCCTCTGTTTCCACATTTTCTGCCAACATCAGATCTGAGGTCTGGCAAAACTCAAGAGAGTTTTCCTGCTGTTACAGGAAAACAGGCTGACAAACCAGCATTATATTGGTGCTCCTGCCAGGGAAGAGTGCTTAGGGAGGAGGGACTGGAATGTCACACAGGACAGCACCTGGTGCCTGTCCATCCTTGAGGTGCTCTCTGAGACACCTCACAATGCTGCAATCCAGGATAAGTGTTCCCTGGGGGACAAGGCTCATGGTAGTTGGCAGGTCTGCCTGGCAGGTGCACACACTGTGGCTGTTGGATTTGCCTGTATGTTCTCTGTTTTCCACCTCACATGTCACCAGGTGGGTTGTGGACTCTCCAGAAGGAAAGGTCAACAAGAATAAGACAATAAAATAACATAAAATAAAATAAAATAAAATAAAATAAAATAAACCAAAACAAAATAAAGACAAGTTTAGCTGTGATCAAAATTTAGTCTTCTCTCTCACTGACAAATAATTGGCACCTAAAGTTTTGGTTGAATTGGAATGGATGTACACATTTTTCTGCTATGGTATGTTTGATTCCTAGAGAAATGAAACAAGAGAATTTTGATGAATACTCCACCTTGTCCACAAGAAAATCTTTTAAGAGGAAAGCCAAACCTCTAAGAGCTTTCTTACCATTGAAAAAGGTGCAAGAAGGGCTTGAGCCCAATATTGCTTTCCTTGGCAGGTTATGTTTAGGGTTCTTGCATTTTGTGGCTGTTGCAGTGACCTCATTCTGAACTCTGGTGTAGAATGGGCATTTGCAAGCAAACAGGAGGTGCTCAGGGTGCAGCTTGCTGAGGGGGAGCCAGCAGCTTTTATGTTGACATTGCCTGCAGCAGTTACATCCCATTGAGTGTTTTTGCATGGAGTGGGATCTCTTTGTGTAGCTCTCAAAGTTTCTCACTCTTTTCAGGTTTGAGCTATGGCATCTCTGTGGACTGGATGGACTCCACCCAGGAGGAGGTGGCCTTTTGGCAGGAGATGATGTTGGCTGCCAATGAATGGATCGAGGGATTGCTGCCGCTGCGCTCACTGGCAGGGAGGAAAAAGCTGAAATAACCCCTTGGTGGTGCCATGGAAATGCCCAATGTGCTCATTAGAATGAGGAAACTTCCTGCACCAGGGAGAGAGACCATCCACAGGCTGCAAGTGTCAGGGGAATGAGGCAGTTAATGGGCATCACCTTGGAGCTGTTAATGTTCAGTACTAATCCACTCACAGAGGACATGGAAGATGCCAAACAGGACTTTAACCAAGAAGAAACTTAATTTGCTTTTTTGTTTAATCATTTATGTATAATTTGAATTCCATTAAGCTCTGGGAACATTGGCAGAAGGAAAAAGCAATATGGATACTTTTTTCTTTTTACCATTTCTTGTACCATTTTTCTTCCATGCAGAGATGCAGTTGTACTGAAGCAGCAGCATGGTATTATTCATACTCCCTGCAAGGGGTACACTTTGTACTTGGTGTACAATTGCTCCAAATCACCAGCACAGTTTGAGAATGGGAGCTCTGCATTTGTCACCTGTGATAACACCTCTTTAACGTGAGAAAAATTGAGTTCCAAGGTGCATCTAAAGAAAGAGAGGACTATTTGCAGCAGAAAATGAAGAAACCTGAGGAGGAGACAATGAGGAATTTGACATATTAATTTCTTTGTGCTTTAATCTGAAAGAGTGCAGGGATGCTCTTAGAGATAGTGGGATTTTACAAGCAGGGACTGTTTCCCTGGCTTTCCCACAGGCTCCCTCAGAGACCTCAGGAAAGTCTCTTTGTGAAAAGAGAGTTTGAGTGCAATATAAACTAAAATGTTTGCCCAGAAGTAAAACATGGTTACATTGCTAAGGGGCCTTTGCAATGCCTTGTGTACAAAACATTTCAATATGAACTGATGAGGTGAGGGACAGTGTCACACTGGCCTGGCATCAGGGTCAGGGGGAAAGGGCATAGCCACGCTGACACAGGGGACACTGGGAGCTGGGGCAGGGGTAAGGAGGGCTGAGAGAATGTGCAGGGAGTGCAGAGCTGCAGTTTCCTGGGGGTCTCCTGCATCTGCATCCCCTGCTGCCCTTCCCTTCCCCTGCTGCCCTTCTCTTCCCTTCCCCTGCTGCCTGCTGTGAGCTGTCAGTGGCTGGAATTTCCCTTTTGCCAGTAGCTTGCAAAAAAATCTTTGCATCTGGCACATGGACCATGGTGGAGTGATGTTGTGAATACATTTTGAATTGCAGCTTTGTAATTTCTGTTTTGGATGTACATACTGTGATTAAATTGAATGCTTTTCTTTAGTCCTCAGTTGGTTGTCTTGTATCTATTTTCATCATGCTCCAAATAACCAAAAAGCAAAAGAGGTGTTAAATTTTGTTATGTCAAAATGAGGCATTTTTGCCAAAGGGCAAGTGAAATGTCATGAAGAAATAATTTTTATAACTATCTACTTTAGATTTTGACTCTTGAATTATTTTGATATTCTTCTTTAATGGATTGATTTTATTTAAGTCAAGCCTATTGTGAATTTTCAGCTTAGCAAAGATGATTGTAAATAAATGAATGGAAAAATGTACACTTAGAGTAATAAGACTTTTTCTTTAAATGGAAACATTTGGGATATAATCAGCTTTCATTGGAAAAAAGAAAGAATTCAAGTGATTTTGCAGTTGGAAAAAGACAATAATTGGAACTGCACCAGACACAGTAATAAAAGCACAGAGCAACAGAATTAAGCAGTGACTGTCTAATGAAGGAGTTGATTCATCTGTAACATCAGCCCAAAAATACTTTGTAGGGGGTCCAGCCTGACATGTTTGTTTACCAAGATTTGGTGATTTATTACCTTTGTGGGATAAAATAACAATACTGGGCCTAAGTTGAGAGTTTAAAAAAAATATTATCCTTACCTTAGGTGCTGAACATGTGAATATTTTTACACCAGTGTACCTGACTGCTGTGAGGAGCCCTGGTGGCAGGGGTGGGATTTGAGCTGGAATGGGTGTGCACACGTCAGTGTGAGCTGGAATGGGTGTGCACACGTCAGTGTGAGCTGGAATGGATGTGCACACATCAGTGGGCTGGCATGAAGTGAAGTTACCCACAGTTCTGCTGCTTTCCTCCTGGTGCTCCCCTATCCCAGGGATATTCCTCGGACAGACTTTCTGCTGGGGCTGGAAAAGTGGTTGGTAGCACCAGGGACTCTGTGTCAGGTCCAGGTCTCTTCCTGGTGGGTGCAGCTGATTCCTCTCTGCCTCCTCCTCCTCATCAGCATTACTGCATGGCAGTGTTGCCAGAAGTGCTGGTTGCATCAATGGAGCTGGAAATGGTTGTGTTGTTGTGTCAGGAAATTAACAGATTTTTCATTGCTGGTGCCAGGAGGGCAGAAAAAGGGGGTCAGTGGGCCAGTTCATCTCAGCAGAGTTACTTTATGAACTTGGCACGGGACTTTGTGAGACTATTTTTGTATTCAGATTCCATTGAGGATTTTTTTTGTTAATCTTTTGCTGGCTTGTTTATTTAAATTAAGCCCTGATTAACTTAAGAAGCTTTCTTTGGCACTTAATAGTTTATCAGAGTAAAAGATTACACTGCCAAACCACACACACTTTTGTCACACAGCTGATCCTGGGGCAGTAAAATTTGCTATGCTCTCTGTTTCACCTACTGCACAGAAAGCACTTTATCACAAAATTACTTAAGGCACATTTATTGCCAGTGTCCTCTGGAGGAGCAGAGCATCTTGTGGGTATAAGGTTAATGGCCTGTTTGCTTGTGGTTTATGATGTTGGCATTTGTTGTCTGTGGATGCTGAACCTCACACACTCTGGCCTGTAAATGTGGCCTGGTGGCACAAGAGTGGGGTTGTAACTGGTGGAAATAAAAGAAAAAACAGATGGAAAGTTTTCTGACTGTATTTACTGGTTAGTTGTAGAATGAATCAAGCAAAGCTACAGGTGAGAGCCTGTGGTGCCAGTGGCTGTGGTTTGTGTCCCTCCTTTCCCTGCACAAGGGGGTGCAGTGCCAGCACTTTCCCTTCCCTCTTCTCTCTCTCCCACTCACCAGTGCCAGCACTGGGAGCTGAGGGGACCCCTGGGCTGGACACAGGAGTGACCCCAGGAGTGCAGTGCCATCCTTTAATATCAAACACAAACCTCAGCACCTACAGGAGAGCTGGCAGCTGCTTTCCATGAGGCTTCTGCATTTGTGAGCCAGTGTGCTCTCTTCTAGGTTATGTCTGATTTATGTAATTTTTATTGGAAATCTTCCAGGATTAAAAGGAAATGGAGAAAAAGAAAAATTCTAGAAAGTATTTCTGCTTCATCAGGCAAATAAAATATGTGGCCTATGGCTATTCAATGTGTAACATGAATAATTACAAGTATCAGAAACTATTGAAAATAGTTTAGAAGCTAATGAAAGAAGATAAATAAAGAATTGTTGAATCTTGAATGAGTGTTTCAGCAGAGATGGAAAGAAGTGGCTGAATTAATTATCCATTACTAAATATTTGCCTAGCTTTATCCTTCACCAAGACAGGGAAAAATTGAAGTACGGTAGAGATTTGGAGATAAAAAATGCTGGCTAAATAAACCCTTGTAATAACATGATCTGTTGAAATTAAAAAATGCTGCATTTTTGCAGGCTTGTTTAGTCAAAAATGTATCAAATAGACTGGTGTATCAGAAGCTGAATAAATACATTTCTGATCCTGATAACTAGGCATGAGTGTATTCAGCAGCAGGTTGGATTATTTGTTTTAATTGTCTGGTTTGTACTTGAAGATTTTCCATGGCTCAATCCCTTTTCCACCTGCTTATTTTGCACCCCTCGGGTGCTAGAGGGGGTGCCTGGGAGCAGATGTCCCTCTGAGCCCTGCCACAGAGGTTGTCAGCACAAACTGGGAAGCTCACTGTGAAGGCCCTTGCAAAATCAGTGCCCAGATTTTGGTTCCTGGAGCTCCCAAGGGCATCACTGCTGCACAAGATCCACTGAGAGATCTCCACACTGGAGAGCCCTGGAAACAGAAATCCCTTCCCATGAGGTCAGCAGGAGCAGCCACTGCTACCCATGGGATGCATTTTGGGAGGTTCCTGGAGCTGGTGGCTCTGCCAGAAGGAGCAGCTCTGCCAGGGTGAAGGTTGTGGGGCTGCAGGAGGACTCGGAGAGTTTGGGGACAGCAGGAGCAGCTCCTGGCCTGTCCTGAGCAGGAGATGGCTCCTTTGGAGAAATGAGGTTTGAGCAAGAGTGGGCAACTCCAGAGTGGCCATTCCCACTTTTGGGGTGTTTGCCTCCTTCACCTCTGCCTCTGAACACATTGGTTGGTTGGTTGGTTGAAGGTGCAAAAACTGAGCATCATTTCCCAGAAGACCCATGGAGAAATTGCTATAATCAGTTTGTATGAGATCTCTTTCTTCTGACAGAGGGATGGGAGTGATGGAGGGCTGGATGTGTCTCCTTCAGGAGCCCTGCAGGAGTCTGGCAGCCCCAGCCCAAGCTCTTTTTTGTTTTGCATTAATTTCCCATTCACTCAGCTTAAATGCCTCATGTCAGATAGTAAAGTCTGAATGAAGGGTGAAGCTGTCAGCAGGCAGAGTGGAAAAACAAAAACAGGAGCAGGGGCTGAGCTGGCCAGGTTGGCTGGTCTCAGCAGGTTCATGCCTGAGGGCTCCAGTAAATATTCCTGCTGGAAAGGGGCTGATGTTCAGTCACTGCCCTGCAAGTGACCTGAAATATGTGCTCGCTTAAGCAGCCAGATATCTGCTTTTTAAAATATTGTAAAATCATATTATGGTTGAACTTGCCTCTGTGCTGAGGCAATTCAGCCTCTGGTGTGGACCCAAATGAGCTAAACCAGCCCTGCTTTAGGAGGAAAGGAAGGAATCCTGTGCATGAAGGCATTTTTGTGGGTCAGTTTTCCTTTTTTTTTTTCCAGGCTGCTGTCAGGGTTTAGTGAATTACTTGGCATCCTGTATATTACAACATGGAAACTATACAACGCCACAGAGCCACAAGTCCTACCCCTGCAGCACCTTAAAGACCCCACAACTACCCCTTAACAGGTGTGGCAGGTTGTGCTGAAGGTGCTGAGCAGAGACTGCTCGTGTGTTTTCCTTTCCCCTGCACACCAGCCTGAGCAGCTGCTGCACTACAGACAACACCAGCAGGAGCAGAAATCAGATTTCATGCATCTAACAACCCATAATGCCATTACAGTAGTTGTTAACCATCCAAAGTAGCTCTTGAGCTGTAAGCAAGCAGTCTGAACTCTGGACTGGAGGGGAAGCCAGGGAGCTGTCTTCTGGCAATATAAGTAGCTCAGACACCCACTTTATAGCAAGAAAAAT